AAAAAAAAAAGATTGACATTGCTCTAAAAAGATAATATGTGATGCAGTGTTGGAGTGTTTCCCAAAGTATCCAATGCTTCAGCCCGGTATCTGGACACAGGGATGCATTTTTAAGGTACAAAGTTGAGTTTAAATGCAGATTTAGGTCAACCAAAGCAAAGAGAAACAAGTGTCAGACTAGTAAAAACCAAAATCCTCTACTGATTTCAGGACAGAATGGTTGCCTGCAATACTTTGTACTTTGTAAACTTAAACTGAGACTTCACAGTCTGTGAGCCCCAGGGATCCTGAAGTGCCGTGGAGGGCATGGAGAGTTCAGACTGTCCAGAAACACTAAATAATCAGCCATAACTGAGGTGATAGTCTTTGCAATAAATCCCAGCGTGTATTAAGTTCAGGATGGTCACTTGTTCATTACTCTCCCCCTTGCCTCAGCAAGGGGGAGAGTAAGAAGACTTAAGACTTAAAGAAGACTTAAGTCTTTACCATTAAGGGTCTAAGAAGTGCATTAGATGCTTTGATTGAGCTTTTATGAATTTGGACGTCTGAACTGAAAGGCTGCTTTCTATCGTTGTGTTAAGTTTCAGTGTGTTTTTTGATGAGCTTTTGTGTTTCTGCTTGTTGTCACGCTCTCACAGTTGGGACAGTTCTTCATTCAGTAGCACTGCTGAGTGAGTCATTTTCTTCTGACCCGAGTGCTATCCCAGAGATTTCAAACAATCTGCACCACTGGATGCGCATACATAACTTCAGTTAAACTTTGTTCACCAAATATTGCTTTGAGGTCCAAAAAAATTGTGTGTGAAGATCTTCATTTTCTACCTCACTGGTAACCTCTAGTATTATAATCAAGACTGAAATCACAATGGAAACAACATAACTGTCATTATTTAGGAAACATAGGAAAGGTGTAGACGTAGGGTGTCTGGTCAGATGTGACCGGTGTTAAGATTTTCAGCCTACAAGCAAAACTGTTGGTGTCACTCTCAACACACACACCAATAGTGAAACACAATGGTGGCAGTATCATTGACACAACACAGAAGTTTTGTCAGAATTGAAGGGAAGATGGATGGAGCTAAATACAGGCCAATACTGAAAGAAAACCTAAGTCTCAAGCTGTTAAGATAGCTTGAAGGCTTGAGACTTAGGTTTGTCTCACAACTGGACATCAAGCCTAAACACACAGCAAGAGCTGCAATGGAACGGTTGAAATCAAAGCCTTTTCATGTGTTAGTGCCTTCGCCAAAATCTAATTAAGAATCTGTGGCAATACTAGAGAATTCCTGCTCACTGTCACTCTCCATTCACTCTGAATTCAGTCAATAAATGCACTCTGCATTCCAAGTATGTGTGCAGGTCTGTAATCATTATTAATTACAAATCCAACAAGAATCCATCGTGGTGATATTGTTTCGTCATAACTGTCTTTGTCTGAATATTGTTACTATTGTGATGCTGAAAACGTTGCATTTCCGTCAAAAAGCTGCAAAATAACCATCGTGTATTTTCTGTTGTTTCTCTTTGGCAGGTGGTGGGTGGAAGAAAGCACAGCCCAGTGCTGGATCCCAGAGGGACTGTTCGTGTTGCAAGGCCCCTTAAGACGAAGAAGGGTGCATGGAGGGTTCAAGGCCTCTAAAACCAGGGACATCAGCCTGCCTCTGGTTGGGGCTGGTCTCTGTGGCCGTAGCTTTCCTTTGTACAGAGGCCCGGACTACTCCGAGCCCTTTACTCAGCCCCAACAATGCCACCTGCAAGGGCAACTCAAAATGTCAAACAGGGATCATCCTCCCCATCTGGTATCCCGAGGATCCGTCCATGGGAGACAAGATTGCTCGGGTCATCGTCTATTTTGTGGCCATGATCTACATGTTTCTTGGTGTGTCCATCATTGCCGACCGTTTCATGGCAGCCATTGAGGTCATCACCTCCCAAGAAAGAGAAATTGTCATCAAAAGGCCCAACGGGGAAACGACGACGACCACAATTCGGGTGTGGAATGAAACAGTTTCCAACCTTACTCTCATGGCCTTGGGCTCATCTGCCCCCGAGATTCTGCTCTCTGTGATTGAAGTTTGCGGACATGAGTTCAAATCTGGTGAACTTGGTCCATCGACAATTGTTGGCAGTGCAGCCTTCAATATGTTTGTCATCATTGGCCTCTGTGTGTCCGTCATTCCCCAAGGTGAAGTGCGCAAGGTCAAACACCTGAGAGTTTTCTTTGTCACAGCAGGCTGGAGTATCTTTGCTTACATCTGGCTCTACATGATCCTGGCTGTTTTTTCTCCAAATGTAGTCCAGGTCTGGGAAGGCCTGGTCACACTATCCTTTTTTCCCATATGCGTCCTACTCGCCTGGGTAGCAGACAGACGACTGCTCTTCTACAAGTTTATGCATAAGAAATATCGCACTGACAAACACAGGGGTGTTATTATTGAGACGGAAACAGAACGCTCCAAAGGGATTGAGATGGACGGCAAGATGGTCAACTCTCACTTTATGGATGGAAGTGCAACCAGTAATCTGATTGGTTTGATTGAGAGCAAAGAAGTAGATGAGTCCCGTCGGGATATGATTCGTATCTTAAAGGACCTAAAGCAGAAGCACCCAGAGAAAGATCTTGATCAGCTGGTTGAGATGGCTAATTACTACGCTCTCTCACATCAGCAAAAGAGCCGTGCCTTCTACCGTATCCAGGCCACTCGAATGATGACAGGCGCTGGGAATATCCTGAAGAAACACGTAGCAGAACAAGCAAAGAAGAGCACCAGTGTGCAAGAGGTGCACGTGGAGGAACCCGAAGAGTACGTGTCTCGGATAGCATTTGAGCCTGCTGCCTACCAGTGCCTTGAGAACTGCGGTGCTGCCATCCTGACTGTCACTAGAAAAGGTGGCGACATCAACAAGACGATCTACGTGGATTATAAAACAGAAGACGGCTCGGCTAATGCTGGAGCAGACTACGAGTTCACAGAGGGCATGGTGGTGTTCAAACCAGGGGAGATAATCAAAGAAATAAGCATTGGCATCATAGACGATGACATCTTTGAAGAGGACGAGCACTTCTTTGTGCGTCTCAATAATCTTCGGGTCTTGGAAACTGAAGACGAGGTGTTGTCTGCCAACAGCCTCCCATACCCAAAGGCCATCCTAGGATTCCCCACTGTGGCTACAGTGACTATTCTGGATGACGATCATTCAGGCATTTTCACGTTTGAGAGTGGCTCAGTTCACATCAGTGAGAGCATCGGCATTATGGAAGTGAAAGTGCTGAGGACTTCTGGAGCAAGGGGAACTGTCATTGTGCCTTATCGCACAGTGGAGGGACTTGCCAAGGGCGGAGGGGAGGACTTTGAAGACACCTACGGAGAACTTGAGTTCAAAAACGACGAGACCTGGTAAGAAGAATCCTCTTGTGTTTGGAGCAGTTGGTTTTCTATTAAATTTTATTGGCTGATGTTCATTGGTCAGTGGCTGATTATTACAGATCAAGGCTTCTAGATCAAAAATACAATGTGTTTTGGACTCATAATTAAATAACATAGCTTGAGAATTATTTCGACAATTTTAATTTCTATTTTATATTGCATTTAAACATGCATAAGCTTTAAGCTTCAGTGCTCTTTAGCAGTCTGCTGGAAACGGCACTTTGTTTTGCTCCAAAGGCTCAGCTCATTCTTTGACATACAATACAAATCTTACCTATTTATATGGCATTTCTACTCACCACTTTGTGAATTTTGACTCCCCGTTTTTCTCTCGTTAGTTAGACAGCAAACACACTCATCTGACGCTTGTTTTTTCTGTGTGGAGAGTTTTCCTCTCATCAGACAGCTTTGGCAGCAACCGTCTGTTTTTCATGTGCTGGAGATTCCACGCAAGCATGGAAACAGGAAGTCCTGAAGTAAACCCTCTCTTTGCCCTTCAACTCCCTGCTGCTTTGTTTTCTCCATCCCCGGAGTTTTGCACGTTTCCCTTTTTCCCCATGTTCTCTTCATGCCTTGTCAACTTCCTCTGACAAAAAAAAGAGTAGAGTGGATGGATAGAAGCTGAGTTAGAAGAGAGATTCACTTCCAAGGTCAAAGGTCTGGCTTTGATTTATATAATCAGTGTGTGACAGTGTTTTGCGTTTGATGGTGGATGGTGTTGAAATGAATTATGACATGTGAAGGCTTAATTTCTTCTGAGCGGAGCCATCAATAAAAATGCTGTGATTGGTAATGATGTCTTACGTAAAGCGGGTATGTTATGTAGTCTTGTCAGCTTTACCATCTGTCTATAATGCTGGACTACAACAACCAGAGTCATGCAACATTTGGTAGTGTTAAAATGATCGTAGCAAACTGTGCTGTGGCATAGAGAGCGTTTGTCGATTGGACAACATTCCAGCACATTACGATTCTGGCGTCTCTGGAATGCACCTTCGCAGGCACTCGTGTTGTACATGTTGACCTACAGCCACTTAGCCACAGAGACAAGTGTCTGCTGTTCCCCCATTCTCTACCAAATGGACCTAACTGGCAGAGACTGGGCTGCAGTGTGAGGGCTGAGACAGCCCCGGAGAACAATGGCAGGTGGATGAGTGTTGGGTGATCAGCATGCTCCAGGGACCTGCTGAGCACTCTGGATTTTACTTGATTTATGTGGGAGAGGCTTTTGGGTTGGACCTGAAGGCTGCTGAGGGAATACAGGGAGGAGATGTGGTGATGCAGTTGTGATGATGATGGTTTATCGATCTGCTTCCTGTGTTGCATATCGTGCTGAATGTTAGAGTCTCACATCGTGCCGCACTCCTCTACCGAGGGGATGTAAATCCAAGAAAAGAAAAAAAAGGCGTACTGTAATTGGTTAACTCTGAGAGATCTTGAATATAATCAGACTGCATAATAATTTGCTGGATATTTAGGGGGAGAAAAAAAATGACGAAATTACAGAGCGCTATTGAGGAACACTTGTCTTTCCTTAGAAAAGCGGTGTAGTTAATAACCAATGTGTTCAGTGGCAGGGCTACTTATTAGCAGAGAAAGCGATAACATCTCTCTCTGGACTCGGCTCCTGTGCATCACAATGAATCAGTTCGTATCAATTTTGACACAAATGAGAATGTCTTAAAATATCTTTTGTTTAAATATCGACTGTTACAAATGAATTATTTTGAAAACCATGTTACACGTTACAGACAAAACCTTTATTTCTAATAACACAATGTTCCTATGAATTATCTTTGTAATTTTTTGCATACCACTTGATGAAGTTGTGCTAGCTGTTTTCCCAATCTTTCTACATACTTCAGGCTCAGATGTACTGCTGGTTCGGTCCATTTACGACCCAGTTCTGGCATGAACATCACCATTGTTCCTGTCTTACTTCTACTTCCTTCAGCAGATTTCACTCACCACAGTGCTTCTCTTAAACAGTAGGTGTCTCTATAAATAAAATCAGCCTGTTGTATTGATTCAACAGAAGCTGCATCAATGCAGAGGCTAATCCAGTAAAAAAATTAAAACAAATCGACTGAAGACAATTCAACTAATTAGTCTGAATAGCTTGAGTAAATAGAAACTGAACATTTCAAATGACGATGTCATTTATTTAGAGGAAAAGCTATTCAAATCGTGAATTAGCTCTGATTAATCGTATTTTTGGGGCTGAGGTTCAAGGTTACCGTAAAAATCAAGGAATGACCAAAAAGACCCAATCTGACAAAGTGAGACTAAAATAAATCAAAAAGCAACACATTGCCCTCCAATCTAAAGAATTGTCATAACGGATTAAAAACAGTCATTGACGTTCTCACTGCAAAGAAAGGCCTAATAACCAAAGTTATTATGGGGACAATATTCTTAAACAAGGAACTATCATGCCAAAAAAAACAAACTCATTATATCAAGCAAAAAATAAACACAAACTATTGAATAAATGTGATGCAATATAAATCAAAATATGGTGGAACTAATTCAGTTTAATTCCTAACAAAAAGAAACTGTATCTCTGCAATCCACCTAGAAGACCGGATCTGTATTTGAGCTTCCAACATTTCCAACAATCTTAAATTGTAAAAAAAAAAAAAAGAAAAAGAAAAAAAAGAGAGCGAATGATCTCTTTTTTTCCCAATAAAAAAGCTGCCAAAGAGTACCACTTTATCCACAATCATGCCAAAAGTTTGACATGAACATTTCCAAAATATTCATTTTCTCAGGGAAAAGGAATATTTAGAAAATTCACAGAAGACAAAATTACCTCGTTGGTTCTTCTGCAACCTAAAACCCTCTCCTCAGAGTCATTTTTCTCTCTCTGTGGGACAAAAAGATTGTTATAAAACGTGTTTGCCTCCGCTGCCCTACATTCATATTTAACCAGGGAAATGTTGTATTTTCTCTTGCCAGAAGGAGTTCCTCTGTTACAAGGTTAAAACAGTTCTTGGTGTGAAGCCATCGTAGTGAGTAGATGAAGGCAGAGCGCGGCGTGTGTGAGAAGAGGCCGAGTGTTTAATCCCCTTCAGCACACAATCACACAATGCTCTCTATCTGGTTCCCTTTAGCACCTCATTTTGCTGGTTCTTTTGCTATCGACCACATATAAGACTGCAAAAGGGTTGTGTGTATTTGTATGCAGTTTACATAAATGTCTGTTTTCAGTAGTTTAGTTAATTGTTGCTTTTGTACTTTAGGTGATTGGATCTTTGTGTAAGCTGGTATTTTATTCCTCCATATTTTTATACTGGTCTCATAACACGGCCCATGCAAAGGCAAGATGATACCACACAATCATATTCAATAAATCACAGTATTATTGAAAACTTCATTTACCTCATTAACATTAAAGATTAATTACACGCAGAATGATGTTTTCCAGCATTTATTTTGTTAACTGTGATGATTTTCCACTTACAGATAATGAAAAATATGACATTTAGGATTAACATATTACATAAGACCATAAAAAAACATATTTTAATGCAGAAATGTGGGCTTAATAAAAAGAATGTCTGTTTCGGGAACAAAATATTATTTTCAAACGGCACTTTTAATCTGTGAATCTCATCAGAACACATATTTTAAGTTATTACATATGACCGAAGGCACATTTTTGCATCCATTCAGCTGGTGTGCTAATATTTTAGTAGAAAATTGCATTCCGTCATCGAACACATGCTTCAGAGTTGCTTTGACTCTTTCATACATGTTTAAGGAATCCTTGCATCTCCCGTGGCAACCATTCAGGGGTGCTTAAGAACTTGTTTATTTAATGAGTTGCCTAGCGGCAGTAGCAAATAGCGTTAGGCTACGTTCACACTGCAGCCTGAAGTGACCCAATAACGATTTTTTGCAGTGGTCGTTCACACATCCTGTATAGTTCTCCAGTGTGAACTGCAAATGACCTGAAAGTGTGGCGTCACACACAGAGCACGTGCTTAGTGTGCGGAAGTAAACATGGACGCTAACGGTGGAGCATAGCTTACGATTTTAAAGTTGTTGTCCGACCGGAGCAGCATATAAACAAATTAATCCTCGTTATAGTCCATCATGGTTGTTGTTATTCTTCCCGTTTGCGTATCAGGACACAGAATAGTAACGTTTGTCGAGTATCAGTGACGTTCAGGTCGAATGAATGCGACCTGGACGTCAGGTCACGTTTGAACCGGATACGTATCGGATACCCAAAGTGGCCCGGGTCCCATTCGAAAAGAATCCGACCTGTGTTGTTCAGAAATTAAAAGATCAGATACAGGTCGAATTACGTCAAGAATTCGGAATTGGGTCACTACAGGCTGCAGTGTGAACGCAGTCTTAGCCTGGTGGAACGGCGCCGATGTTGGACTACACCTCTCCTAAAACGGATATAAATGGCATCAAGAATGAACGCTGTCGCGACAACGTGCTGAAGGCGGAGTGTCCGAAAGTGTCGGAGCATCTTAAAGAGACCAAGGCCAATTTCACGGTGTCTACTATGGACAGTGAATTTTCTTTCTAAATGTTTTTCATATATGTAGCAGTAGTCATTTGGCTGTGCTGTAAAATAACCCTATGTCCTGGAAAATATACAATGTAAAATAACGCCTTTAATGATTTCTCACTGGGTTGTACCCCTGTTTGGTATGAAAACAATAAAATGCCAACAAATTAAAATTCCTGTTGGTGGTTTCGCCGCTAAGTCCACATAAAGAAAGATAATGATAATTAAATGCCTCTCCTCCCTTTAGTGGCTCATAGAAGCAGGATTAAGTGTTGCTAATGGGGACGGTGCCTCGCCATACATTCTCAAAGGATTCATATTCTCCTACAGGTGAGACGGTGTGCAGCCCAGAGATAGCTTTGTTAATAAAATAAAGTAAATTTTTTTGGGGGGGACGCCGGGGGGTGGGGGTGGAGGGGTTTAGTCTTTGTGATGACTCCGATTAACATTTAGGCCTCCTGAGAAAACTATCTCCAGGCTGGGAGCTGCCTGTGTAAAGCTGCAGAGAATATTGAAGTAATAAAGGTTGCCAGGTTGTGTTTCCTTATTGAGCCGGAGAAGATAACACAGCTGAGAAGCTCCATCCCTGGAGAGGCCGATGTTTAACTAAGCGCTGATGGATTCATAAACAAATGAGTGGTGCACGGCAGACGGACCAGAATCACCCGGAGTATTCGTGGTCGTAAGGGGGAACGAATCTTCCTGTGCATTCACATGCAACCTTTAAAGATTTATAATTGCGCCGACGATAAAACGCACAATTTTTGACCTTTTGTAGGCGTCGAAGTCTTTTCCTGAAATGTTTCCTTGGGTATCTGTGGAATGTGTAAGGCGCTACCTCCTCCTGGCATCATGACTGACAGGACACATGTTTACTCTGATCCTCGTCCTGCTGAGCGAGGCAGCTTTCCCCCCAGCCAGCACTTTTCCATATATCCCAGAATGGACCCACGGGGCTTACCTTACCCGCCTGCAGCCGGTCCCCTGACACCGCCTGGATCGTCTTCAGCTCAGCTTATCATATTCGCGGCTGCTGCTTTCTGTTGTTTCATTAAGGCTATAGCCTTATAGTCTCTGGTCTCTCTGAAATGATGTGTTTCTGCTTTTGGTTGTCGTGTTTTGTTTTGTTTTGTTTTTTTCTGTAATTTCTTGGAATTGTTTCAGTAGTATTATTCAGTTTTCTTCGTCATAGTTTGAATGTAGTTGAAATAAAAGGGATTTCTAGTATTTTCAGTAAGAATATTCAGAATTACGTACAAACCCATCTGGTTGTTTCTGGGTTTTGAACTTTGGTTTCTGCAAATTATTGTTGCACTGATTCCAGTTTCTCTTTAAGAACTATAATAGAAAAAATATTTATTCACATTATTTCTGTCAGGATTTGTTTGATGACCTGGAACATAAAAAAACAACAAATAAGAAAAACCACTAAGAGGAAAAATTACTATAATGGAAACATTGATTTTTGTAAGAAAAAAAAAATCACTGGGATAAGCCCGGCTCAGAGTGAATATTGTGATCTGATCGCCCCGGGCCTGAAACCCGAGCCCAGCGCGGTATCAGATATGGTTCTTGAATTAGTGTCTGCCAGTCTGTGAGTACACAGTGCAGGCATTCTGATGCTGCCTTCAATCATGTTCCTGCTTTATGCCAGAAGATTTCTATTTTTAACTCGCTGATATCTGTAGGTTGTCCATAACCTTTGGGATACTTCATGAGACACCAAAGACAAATTAAGATTAATGACGACGAACAACAAAACGGCTCAGCTATCGACGCGATCTGTGTGTAACAGCCATCCTGCAATGCTTGGCATTGGATGAAGAAGAGCAGACTATCACAGAACCTTACAACTAAAAGCAATTTTTGAGAGTAAAGTAAGACGAAGTCCTCAACAAAAGAAACACCCACAATAAAAAAAAAAAAAACAACAGGAAAGTATCTGTAGTGTCAGTACATGCACTGAGAGAACAAGAAAAATCCAGTCCAGATTCCAGCCGGTGATCTGCTCTGAGGAATCAGCACAGCCAAGAACCAACAGGAATATCAAACCTACAGGACCGACGGGGTCTCAAGGTTGCCCCTGGCGATATTAGATTTGAAACAGCAGCAAATCTGTCCTTAATAGCCGGCTTTATGTAGCCATAAAAAGCGTTGCCAACAAAGAAGGGAAGGAGAAGCAAGTGGCTTCTTTAAATTTTGTGGCCCTGGAGTGTTGATGACTTAACAGTAATCATTGGAGAGTCTTCCCCAATCGCATATCTACAAATGTTTCTGTGGAACTTCACTCCGAAAATATTTGCGGACTTTTTTGTTGAGTATATCTAAAATAATTTTAGAAGGAAAATATGGTGGGAAGATGAAGAAGTGAAGAAAAGTGCTACTTGACATGCTATTGGCTGGCGTTTTCAAAGCAGCCAATCCAGCAGCCCTATTCATTTTCCTGGGCACTGATTGGCTGTAACCTGAAGAGCAAAGACAGGGAGCACTGTGGTAGTGCTAAGACAAGTTTCCACCCTGCAAATGAATACATATTGAGATTTACCATAGACATAAATACGTAGACGCCTCATGGAGCAGGCCGGCCCGTTGCTGCGATACGTAACAGCGTCCGCCATATTGAATGTGGAATATGTGCCAGTAAGGTAATACAAGTGAATGGACCGAACTTTATAAAGTGCCGTTTTACAAAGTATTTTAAGTTAATTCCTGTCATTGACACATTTTCTCACACACATTAATATTTTTGGCAATCAAAGAAATGACTAAAGACAGAGTTTCTAACTTTTGATGTGATTATTTAATTGTTTTGGGGCATTTCTGAATAAAGAGCACAATGTTTTTATTTGATAGAAATGATTCTGATCATTTTTATATTGAAATTGATAAACAGACACACAT